ACATATCTGATAGGTAGTAGAAAAAATTTTGTATGCAATACGTGCGTAAAGCACCTTTTTTCACACTTGTTGCATAAATAACTATTAGACAAATACTTTACGCACTAATGCGTAAAGTAAAGTAATTTACTAGAAAAAAATTACAGTGTCGACATCTGTCATTGACCTTACTTCACGCACTAGTAGGCAATTTTGCGCGAGGATAACATTGGAGGATAATCAAGCATAATCTGATTATGCTGGGTTATGTGATGTGTCAACTGTGTCATACTCCCCTAACTCCCTCTCCCTTCAATTCTGGGCCTGCGAGTGGTGTCACTACCAGCAGTTTATAGTGATGACGTCACCCGCAGACCACGATGGAATGCTTGCGATTCAGGCTGTGCTAGTGAGTTAATTTTTTCGTCGATTTCAAATGTAGAAAGTTTTCGGTCTGTTCTCACAGAAGAAGTTAAGAGCCGGATTTATAGTCGCTGCTTGAAGTTTCCTCAGGCCTCAAGGAGGCTTTGAACGTTTAGAATTAAGATGACTAACCTGTCAAATAGTAGCAAGTGTCCATTCTAAACTCACGACCTTCAAGGAAGACCCAAGAAACGACTATAAATTCGGCCCTAAGTGTTCTTGATCCTCGAGTATCCCAGAATTTGATGATGGGTGAGTTAGGGGAGTATGACACAATTGACATATCACATAATCTAGCATAATCGAGAATGCTTGGTTATCCTCGCGGAAAATTGCCTAGTGACTAGGGTTGCCAGGCGTCCTGGATTTCGCAGGATGTCCTGGATTCAGGGTCTTGTGTCCTGCGTCCTGCCGGAGTTGTCCGCAGGACACCAAATGTCCTGCATTTCATAAAATCCTTACTCTTAGAATCAGTGGCGGCTGGCCCTAAGGGGCCAAGGGGCCGTGGCACTGGCGCAAAATATGTCGGTCCTTTTAAAATTTTTTTTTTTTTTTAGTTCAATAGTTATTACAATCGTCAGATCAAATCACTTATCATTTTATAATTTGATCCCGACGGAAACATTTCTGTCGTTATTATTTCTAAATTTCCTAGACAATAATTTAAGCGACTGACTAAACTAAACTCGCTGGACTATCCGTCCGAGCCCATCTCACAACGGCCCCGCTGCAACACGGCAATTACGTTGGAGAAGGTCACGCCGCGCTCTCAGTAACCAGCTGTTTTTATACGTATAAACGGGGCCACCTGATCGAACGGCCCGGATTAGTTTTTGTGGCAATTTAATCAACACACAACACACAACAAGAACATGAAGTCTGGAAAAGTCTGGAAATCTCTGGAAAAGCCTGAAAAGAGCCTGGAAATTTCTGGAAAGGGTCGGAAAAATTCTGCCAAAGGTCCCAAAAGACCTGGGGATCATTTTCCAGAATCCGGATCAGTCTGAACAAGTCTGGATAAAGTCTGGATTAATCTGGATGAAGTCTGGAAAACTCTGGAAAGCTCTGGATATGTCTGGATAATGTCTGGAAATCTCTGGAAACGTCTGGAAAAGGCCTAGAAATTTCTTGAAAGGGTCGGAAAAATTCTGGAAAAGGTCCCAAAAGACCTACGGATCATTTTCCAGAATCCGGATCGGTCTGTACAAGTCTGGATAAATCTGGATGGAATCTGGAAAACTCTGGAAAGCTCTGAATAAGTCTGGATAATGTCTGGAAATCTCTGGGGCTGAAACGCCGAACACCAAAAGAATTTAATTTTTTTTTACTCTCATTTGATTTGACTAACGATAGACAGTCAACGTTGACTCCAGGAATATCTTATTGGTTAGATTTTTTAGCGGCTTTCCTGGCGCCATAGGGCGGCATATTTTTTTGAAGCGCCTGCCGCAAAGAAATCAGTTTCGTCTGGAAAGACAGTGCAGTAGATATTTTTTATAAATTTGATTTCCATTTGATTTGTATGGTGCCTTATGTCTTATTTTATGTAAAACTGTTTTATTAAATTTCTCGTACTCCGCCCGTGCTTCATTTATTATTTTGTAGAAATGGTAAATGCCCACCAGGAATTGAGAATAAGTGAAAAAACTTTCTGAGGCGTGTTTTTTTTACAATTTTTAGATCAAAATTTGAAATTTGGGTTAGTTTGGGTCAGTTTAAAAAAATTTGCGCGCCTCTGGAGTCTGGGGCTTCCCCCCTGAGTGTGTGCACCGCCAACTTTTCCTCTCACCAGCCGTCACTGACTGTCCTGCATTTTCTCAACACATGTCCTGCGAATTCAATTTTCAAACCTGGCAACCCTACTAGTGACCCTAGTGTGTAAAGTGACTTACTTCACGTACTAATGCGAGAAGTAAAATTTTACGTCTTTTGGATAGTGCGTAAACTGAGTATGAGTGTTTTCACGATCTCTGAGTTTTCCGGACATTGTTCCGAATTCCGGCCGGACTTCCCCGGACACCCTAAAAACCCAAACATGTCCGGGTAAATCCGGACGTATGGAAACCCTAGCCTTTCACTTTACAGACTCTCAATAACTATTTCGGCAAAGTCCGGATTTCTTGACTCCTTTGTCCTGAATTCCGAAAAACCTTTATGGAAACCCTACTGGTGGTATTACTACCATCATAAGCGCAAAATTTAAACAAAGATAAGGGGCCATTCTCGAAATGGGGGAAAACAAGCCGTAGACTCGTACACAAATTTTGCGCTGCATCTACTGCATTTCACGAACGGCTAATTGTAGAGCAATGTACCTAAGACCAAATTTGGAGCAAATTTAATGATGTATTCTATAACTTTTTTAAAAACAAATTCTTAGAAAAGTGGATCGTTTTCTAGATATTGATAAACGTATTTCTGACCTTTGACTTTCCTTAACGGCCCCAGTGGCGACGCGTGACCAGCAGTCTGGGGTGGGTTGGGTCAATGGTTCAGGGGGGTTGAGGGAGCAACATATTCGTCTTTGGAAATTTTAATCTCATATTTCGATTTCATATTATTTAGGCTGGTGACACTACTAGTCTAGGAGGCAGTGACGATTTTTGGTACTTATTTTCCCAGTCAGAGAACATGGATAGAATTGTAGGGTTAGTAATTCTAAGCAAAATACATATATTTTTAGGGGGGGGTTTTCCGATGGGTTGAAGCGCAAAATGCGTTAAAGCTCGCCAATGGACGGCCCTTTTTTTCCTCAGTGATAAAAATAGGTCTAATAATGAGAAATATACTGAAGTTATGTAAAAAAATAGTCCGGCTAATCTGTGAGTATGGATAATATGTCTGGCAAGTGAAAAATTGAAGACCCGAAAATTTGCAGTCAGACCTACTTCCACTATCTGAGATAAGCCAAATTGCTATTTTCATATACTTTATGTTCTATTGTAGTGAATGTGAAATATTTATGTCTGGGAAAATAAGCCTACTTGTATTTTTCAGTGATCTTGTGAACCCATCCGTAAATTTTAGTTAGACGCAAAAATTCTTGTTTTGTATCACCAGGAGAACAAACTATTGGATAGATACCAACTGGGAAAATAAGTGCTAAAAAATTTCACTGCCTCCTGGACTATACATGTCAAATTATAGAAATCTTCTATTATAATATATCGCGAATGACAGTTCGATGGCCATCAGTCAGCCAGGGTTACCAACCTCCGATAAGTAAAAAAGGAGTGTCACAAAGAGCTTCTTTTCGAAACTACTTTTAGTGTCGAAAAGACTTCGATATGAAACCAAAATAGAAAAATGTATTTTCTCCCATATATTATGTATTTTCTTTTGGGCATCCTGATTTTTCTCTTGATAATTCGATCCTGGGGGGGGGAAGGTAAATAACCCCATTACCCCCCTCGACGCGACGCCCCTGCCCATAACAACGTGTATGCAAAAATTTCACCGTTACGTCCCTTCAATTTATAGGTCAAAATCTGGAGCATAGGCTTACCACTCTTCACGCTCTATCTCAAAAACGGTTCCTTTTATAAAAAAAGTTTCAAACAAAAGTCTATAGGTTGTCGCTCACTGGAGCGTAGCGCACGGCAGCGCAGCGGAGAGGAATTTTTAAATACATTGTTTTAAACGTGAGTACGCTCACTTGTCGGAAGCGCACCGATCGGCATAGTCCCATTTAAAACAATATATTATGAAAAATCCTCTCTGCCGTGCGCTGCGCTCCAGTGAGCGTCACCAATGTCTCTAACTTCTGTAATAGGTGTTAACATCGTTGGAACTATAGGAATCGAGATAATCGCAAAAAAACGATTTCTGTGACCTTTGACCTGCAATAACTAAAGAACCCTGAGAAGCTTCAAAATCGAAATCATAGAACATTGAAGATTTTCCAAAATAACACTGCGCCTGTTTTTGCCTCACAGCATTCAATTTGGTTTCAGCATCTCGCCACCTTTCCTGAGAAGCTTTAAAATTGAAATTATCGAACATTGGAAATTTTCCGAAAATGATACTGAGACAGTTTTCGCCTCAGCTCCGTTAATTTCCATCCGATTCCAGTGTAATGAAGCTCTAATTAAAGCCAAATTATATTCTCTACGAACCTACTTTTAATATAGTTATCTTGAGAAAAGTTTTTTCTGATTTTTACTCTTGTATCTAAGAATTGCTTGATTTTGATTAACATCTATTACTTGACTATTTTTCCTTAGGATTTTTATTTTGTTTGATATAAGACAAGAAAACTGAATAATTCCATATTTTGGATTGTTATTTCGCACCCTGGTGGGAAGGTATGAGTGGGTTTTTGACACAAAAAGTCCAAATAGCCCACTGGATTTTTTGTCAATATTGATGGTGAGTTTTTGTGTCAAAAACCCTGTAGTTTGGCACAGTCTTTGGGAAAATGTCCCTCTAAGTTTTGGTTGCCAACTTAATACTAGTTTCAGTAGGTCAAATCCTTCATTTCTAAATTCTCATCAGAATATGTATTAAGATGTGTCAAATACAGTTTAGTCAAATAAAAAATAAAATACCCAATCATATATTTTGCAGGCAGAAACTAATATTATACATTTTTCTTGTAGGTTCTTGAAGTAAGAGAACAGTTAGAAAGAGAAGGTAGACCACTGGAAAGGGGTGAAATAGATGCTTCGACACAACCCCAGGATATGGATGATGGACAAAAAGCCCTTCTTTGGGAAATGTGTAATGTGAGTTATTTCGTTTTTTTTTTTTAAATAAATATTTGATAATTTATTTTGGTCAGGTTGTGTGGAGAAAGCTAGAAGAAGGACCTCCAACAGCTCGACGGTAAAAATTTAGACGAAATTTTCTTGCCAGAAAAATACTCTTATTTAAAATGTATGACAATAACTTTCTATCTGTACTAGCTTTAAGTATTTTTTTTTTTTGTCGAATCAAAAAATAAGTGTTATCGTCCTTTGAAAATGTTTATTTATTATAAGTTTGTTACTTAAATTGTCTTCTTTATTTTATAACTGAATGTACAAAATAAAATTATTTTATTTAGGTTTATTGTTTTTTTCCATAGTGAATGAAACAATACATGTTGAAATAATTATACATATATTTCTAAATTTTCATAGTCACTACAACAATCTAAGTCCACCTTAAACTCATTAAAAAGCTATATTCTATTACACAAGTTCTTACGTTTAGTGCTATATATTTATTTGAAACGTAAACTTCTGAAAAGAAAAATATTATGGATCTGAAAAAAGAAAATGCACACCACAAATTTAGAACAATATATAAATATAAACATGTGAAAGGCTATACTAATTTAAAGTTAAAAATGTCTCAAATTTGGTCAGTTGTTGCATAACAATCGTTCTAAAAAATTATCCATTTTACATTGGAAATAGGAAAAAAAGTTCTAAACTTTGACTATTGAGACTCTTCATTTTGAAGAGGAAAAATCACACAGTAATAATTATATTCTATTTCAACATATCGCCAAAAAAACGTGATACTTTAATTTGGTATTGATCTAAGACTATTTCAATAGGTTTTTACGGAAACTATGATTTAGAATTATTTGAGATTGGTTGATATTGAAAGTAGGTGAGTTCAATAATAATCCAACTTAAAGATGACACCATTGACAGACGCCCACACGATCTTCCATTTGTTATAAAAGTTTACCTTTATCTTTTTTTGCTCAAGAAGTATAAACCAAACTCTACCATTATTGTTTTGTGACCATTTTTACAAAAAACAAAGAATTTGATAGTGAGATTATGATAATCATAATTCAAATTTGACTAACCCCGATAACTTTTTCTACCAAAGTGAACTAATCTAAAATCATTTTTTTAACGTCAGTATTTGTGATTTTTAGTAGTCGATCATAGTTTCAGTAAATACCTCTTGCTTTGAAATTATCTTTCAAACTAAAAAGCTGACAATGATTTATTTTGATTTATGTAGGTAATTACTTTTAAATTTTCGTACAAATACAGCTTATTTTCCATAACATTTTTTCTTCAATTCGACACAAAACGTACAATTCTCTAATCCTAACCTACCCTTAGTAGCGTCTCCTGCTACCGCCACCACCACCAGCGCCGCCACCGCCGCCCGATCGTCTAGTACGACCGAATTCATCAGTCGACCTCCTACGGGAAGATTGAGACTGGGATGACCTGAAGTTAGACCTCTGGCTTCTGCCAGCCCCGTAATCCTTGTCGCGATAGTCGCGCTCTCCGCGATCCCCGCGCTCGCCGCGTTCACCGCGTTCGCCACGCTCCCCACGCTGGCTTCTTCTGTCTCTTCCGTAACTAAAAACCAGACCAAATACAACCATAAACATCAGCCCATCATGACACGGCATCTAATTTGATGATCATCATCCATTCCATAATACCAACGCATTGGGATAAACTGGATCGCTAGCCGCCATCGTGACCACCCATTTTAACCAACTTTCTTTTACCCATAATATGATAACCCAAAACATCATACCAACTAAAACCATGTGCCTGACAAATCACAAAACAATTAGGTGTAAATTTTTGGGTAGCAATAAAGTGGAAAAATAATTGATATTTGGTAGAGATTCAAGCTCACTGTGGTTGTGGAATATTTTGTTTATTAGATACAACACGAATTGGTCAAAAGGTGACCACAGAGTAGCTTAATTTAAAATCATTATGATGATAAAATAGGACCAAATCTTATATGATGGACAAAATAATGAAAGATCAAACATATTATTAGTTATTAATAATAAAATAGAAGTATGTTTGTTATAATAAAACCTTTACCAGTATTGCATATTTACAACAAAGTTTCATTTTTAAAACTTTATAACATCTTAAAAACTACATTTTACAAAAGCAACTGGATTCTGGATTCTTTCCAAAATCACAATAATTAGTTTTCGTTAAATTGATGTTGAAAAAGAAAAGAATCAAGTTTTTTCGTAGATTCTACAGCTTTCCGATAAGCGATCTTCGGGTCATTTCATTTCCTACTAATTTTGACCAAATCATTGAAACTCAAAACTTTGTTGTTTTTTATTCAATTGCCTTGAATAATTAGTTTGATTTGCTTCAAAGCTTGAAAAATTTTTGTTTTACATATTTTTTTCAAAAACTGTTATTTCTTATTCAATTGCCTTAACTTTCCAGTATATTTTGCAACAAAGCTTCAAAAATACTTGCTTAGAACTTCATATCTTTGCCTTGCGTAGTTTCTGCGTTAACAACTAAAATTTGTAGGTTTGCCCTGTACTTTCCAGTCTAACTTTGTTGTTCTTTCATTGCCTTTGAACTTTTAGTAGGAAGTTCTTGCTCCAAAACTTCAAAAATAGTTGCCGAAAATCTCATATTGGATTTTTTCTGAACTAACAGCTAACGAGTAGAGGTTTGTCAAAATTTACTTTACTTTCAAAACCTTGTTGTTTTTTTATTCAATTGCCTTGAAGTTTTAGTAGAGGAAGTTGGTATAAAAACATACTTCAAAAATGTGATAAAAAATCAGTTATTTAAGTTTTAATATTGTTATATTGTGAAATGGTATATTCCGTTAATAAATAAATAATAAATAATAATACTTAGATAAAATGGCACCCTTTGTTTATTTTAAATTAGGTGCGCTTTTAATATTTCGCATGCTATTTTATTTAAACATCGGTGGGGAGACCTCTTCCAGTCCAGTAGGAAGTAGTGGCGTAGCAAGGTCCTGATGGGCCCGAGCGCAAACCTTTTGCTAGGGCCCCCCCTTCCCCAATAATAAAAAAAAAAAGATTATTGTGGGAAAAATAATACATGTATTCTCATGAAAAAATTATGATAAAAATAGTAAGGATATAAAATTCTATAAAATATTATAATATACAGGGTCATTCCTTAGCCTGTGCATCGGCTCACAGAGAGATTAGATGCAACTCTACGAATCCACCTGCAGACGGGAAAACTTCCAATGCACGGGCTACGTAAATCAGGGTTTTATATACAGGGTTGAGGGTTGTCGTTATGAATGGAAACGGCCTAATATTTTTGAACGCGCTCACAAAAAATGTACCATATTTCATAGAGAGAGGAGAGCTCCTCGAGAAAACACATTTTTCGTCCTTATCATTCTCGTTCATTATTCGATTACGTTGACAAAGACAAAACATTCGTTCTCTCGGGGAGCTCTACTCCCTGGAGATGAGAATCGGGCCTCTGGTGGTTGTTAGGAATGTGGAAATTTAGTTTTTAGGAATGTCCGATTCAATGGTGGTATTTGCAATGTTGCCAACTTTACCGTTTCTAAGATGTCGTATATATATTGGTTTTTGAAATATTGCAACACAGCTAATTTGTTGAAATGTATAGAAATGGTCTCGTATTTCAGAACAGGAAAAAAAAATGTCATTGTGTGTAGGTATGCAAGATTTAAGGGAGCTGATAGGCTCAAGTAGGAAATATTGTACATTTTTCTGAAGCCTATTCTGAAATGTATCCATATATTTCAACAAAAAAGCTGTGTTGTCATATTTAAAAATCCAAGTGAAATGGAGGTTTGGCATTTAGCGGTTTTAGTAATGTTGGGACGCTGAATTAATTACATTTAAAATAAAGAGGGACTTTTATTTAAAAAAATCAAGTTACATACATCATCTTAGAAATGGTAAAGTTGGCTACATTGCAAATACCACCATTGAATCGGGCATTCCCAAAAACCCTAGGAAAAAACGTATAATTTTTTTTTTTTGAGCTCGTCCAGAAATCTTAGGCCGTTTCCATACATAACGACAACTCTGTATTGTAATATTGTGGAAGGCAGAGTAGGTATCGAATTACCAGTATTATGATTATGTAGTATTGTACCAAAAAGATAAATAGCCATTGTTTAGATTTCTTTAATAACTCAAATCATTTATTGCACGTCATCGACGGTTCACAACACGCCCTATGTTATCGAACGCCCCATGTTATCGAACGCCCCTCAAAAAATAGAAAAATGAATATCAAGTTGAAAATCAACACTGTTAATTGCTATAATTAATTAATTGTAATATTGTACTGTTCGTCTTTGTTGATCCGTTTGTTTGCGGTAGTAAAAGTGTTTTGAGTTGGAATTAAAACGATTAAAAACTAACCCTGTTCGAGTTTTATTAAAACCACCCAAGGTCTATCTGGTCCACTCTATCGAAGGAACTCTAAAATCCCCACATAATTTCTGGTCTCTTCTCACGGATTGTTGACTTGCAACCGATTAAAATCGATAGACAAAGTGGTTTTATGAAACAATTCGGATACTTTTGACGTTGAAAATAGTACTTGTGTGCATTGACTCGTGAAAACAAAAAAGTGAACTCTCAGTAATCCAGTCTCCGCCCCATTGTAGCAGACTGCAGGATCGCAGTCCTCGCGCTACGCCCCAGTGGCCTCGCGGCTCTAGTTTTGTGGCCCAATCCCGTGGCCTTGCAAATTGGAAATTGAAGATTACGGCACTCTGTCGCCTGGATTTCAAGGAAAATTTAAGGTCAGATCTTTCAATTTTATTTATGATGGTTATGGAAAGTCGTTCACTACAGAACTTCAAGAATTTCATCACACTGTGACTGTACTGTTTTTTTTTGTAGTGGTTTTGTGCGTTTGTTTTGGTGTTCCATAGAATATTTTTGCACTTTCTGTGGCAAATACTTATTTGCAATTTAACTGACATTAATTTAAAGTAGGAAGGAATAATACAGACTCTTTTCTCACAACCTTTTTATAAGATTCTTACAATCTTTCTCGTTTTTCAAAAACAAAAAATTTCTTATTTCATTTAAAGCTAAAGCGTAGATACCTATTTCTTTCAATTTAAAATGTCTGAATTAGGAATTGATGTAGAAAGCCTCAAACGCAAAAGAGGCAGGCAAAAGGCTGTGATAACAAGAATTGAAAACTTTGTTCGACAAAATGTTGATGTTGCAAATATTGATGTTAATGATTTTGTTGTAAGGGAAGTGCAATTACACAAAGCTTATGCGTCATATCTAGAAGTACAAGATGATATTGAAAATGTTGACGAAACTCAATCTGCTGACAGAGATTAATTTGAAGGTAGATATTTCAATCTTGCAGCAAAGTTAAAATCTTTAATTCAAAGGTTTTCTCAGGTATCAATTAACTCGCCCATCCCACAACTTCTAACCACACCACCTCTAGCCTTGCCTAATGGCCCACCAATTAACCCTCATTCAATTCAAGTTAAGCTTCCTAGTTTAAATGTACTTTTACAGGTAATTTCAAGGATTGGCCCGCTTTTAAAGATATTTTCTCTGCACTAATAGATTCAAATCAGAATCTCTCCCCTGTGCAAAAACTAATGTATTTGAAATCTGCTTTGAAAGGTGAACCATTGGACCTTGTGAATAGTTTGTTAATGACCAACGAAAATTATGCAGTAGCAAACGAAATGTTGAACAAGCGATACGACAAAAAACTTTTGATTATTAATTCATTGTTGCAGGGTCTATTGGACGTCCCACATATTTCCAAAAATAATTGCACAGCCTTGAGGCAATTCATAACTCAGGTTAACAAAAATCTAAAGTCATTAGAAGCATTACAAGTTGATATCGAGAATTGGGATTTGCTTTTAATTTATATTTTCTCTAAACATTTAGATGCTACAACAAGGCAAGACTTTAAACTAGAGCGAGAAACAGACGATTTGCCTACATTGGACGAATTTATGGATTTTTTTAGAAAGAAAGTGCTCATCGTTAGAATCACTAACAGATAATTTCAATACTGAAAATAAGTATTCTCAAAAAGGTTCACGAGTTCATGTCGCTCAAGAAACTGATACAAATAAATATATAGGTTGTTTTTATTGTAAATTCAAAAACCATAAGATTTATAAATGCTCTAAATTTTTGAAAATGCCTGCTTCTCAAAGAAAACAGTTTGCTATGCAGAATAAATTGTGTTTTAACTGCCTCGGTAATAGGCACAATATGTCTCAGTGTCCCTCGTCAAATTGCAGGATTTGTTCTGCAAGACACCACTCTCTGTTGCACGAAACTCGAGAGAGTGGAAGTACAATGCATCAAGTGCATGAGCCTTCACCCAAACCACCTGGTAATAATGTACAACCGAGTGTACAACCCAGTGCACAACCCAGAAATCCCCCCTCTCAGGATGCAAATAAACATGTTGTAGTAGAGCACGCTGCGCTAGAACTCTCTCAGGATAACGTCTCAGAAGACAATAATCCAAGCTCATGTCATTTGTCTCAAAGCTATTCTCAAATATTGCTTGCTACAGCAAAGGTATTATTAGTTTCAGAAAATGGAACCAAAGTGCTTGCACGTGCGCTATTGAACTCTGCATCTCAAACGACTTTTATCACTTCACATATGTTTAAGAAGTTAGCATCGCCCTCGGTTAAAATTCATCTACCAATTTCAGGAATAGGTAGCACTAGAACTCAAGTGACTCACTCTGTGAAAGTGAATATTTTGTCTCGACACGAAAAGTTTTCTC